TAAGCGACACAATTAGCTGCACTATAATCCATCTCTAATTTGCATTTCCTGCTGGCTAGTCTCTATTTAAACCTTGATATAACAATGTTCTACTGTAATTTAACGCGCTACAGAGGATTTGCGCCTCTACGTAAAAATTCTATTCACCTGATCATCACGTCTCTTTGTCTCTGCTCGATCAAACGCAGTGGTTTCGCTGGCGGAATCGGCGGAGGCGGTGGTCTTCTTCTTTGCACGTCCTGAAGCTGAAGATTCGGCATCGACGACCTGTAATTCACCGGTGGTTGGCTCTTGAACTGTTGGATATTGGTGGCCGATGTATGCGCAACATCTTGCAACGATTTCCATTGTTCCTGCAATTGTTCTGCCAGTTTAAGCTGCTTCTGTTCGCGATACGCGAGATTGTTTCGTTGACGTTTCAATTCTTCTTGTTCCAGCTGCAGCAGTTCCCTTTCCACCCTGAGGACTTCCTACTCGAAGAGAAATATTCATAATTTACAATTAACCACAATAACATCCTCTCTACTCGTTCTATTGATTCGAACTTTTTGTTGTTTCTTTTTTTTCTTTTCAAACAAAACGACACTTTTATTTTGGCAAAGCTTGGAAAATGAAATTTACAATTTTGCCAAATTTTGTTAGGTGCAAGCTCCGAAAGAAAATGGCAAAAGTTACGAAAGGTACTGTTCCCTTACCCCGGAAGCAAATTCGTCTTCTTCGTCGTTCAAACCAGCACCAACCAATGACGTGTTCTGCGAATAATTATCAACGACACTCCCGTTAACGTTTACAGTGCAATGTACTTAATTTACAGCATGCAGTTACTTCAAAGGGTAATCGTTAGCGGTTCATTTGTGTCCGAAACGAATTTTCAGAATTCACAGAAGTGCGTAAAGTATTGTATCGATCAAATTCGAACCGCTTTACAATCTATCGTCGATCGATCAATTCCACAAAGTAGAAAAAAACATTAAAACTATATTTCCAGAAAAATAACGAACCTCCTGAGAAATGTTCACAAAATTTCCTCACAAATCTTACACACTCGTCGAATCAACAAATATACAAACCAGTGATTAACATACACAGTGCTCGAGTATCGTCACGACCGAGATTCGAGTATAACATAAATCGCCTAATCGATATCTCTCGAAACTTCGTATACCATTACCTCACACCACACACGCAACTCTACACTTCACTCGACAGTGTCAAAGCACCCGCACCCACATAAAAAAAAAAAACAAAAAAAAAACGAAGAGAAAACAAAAGAGACGAAAAATAAAAGAGAATCATACCTCTTGTTCCCGAATTTGACTTTCAATGGCCCTGATACGCTTCTCCTCGATGCGTCTCGCATCGGCCACCCTCCTCTCCTCCTCGAGCTCGTTTTGAATCCTCAAACGTTCCGCCTGCGCTCTCAGCTCCTCCTCCTCGCGCCTCTTCTCTTCCGCGCGTTTCGCCTCGGCCTCGGCGCGAGCCGCTTCTTGCTGCCTCGCGGCCTCCTCCTGCTGTTTGCGCAACGTTTCCTCCTGCTTGCGTATGTTGTCCTCGTTTTTCCGCAGAGTCTCTTCCTGGCGGCGCAGCGCCGCTTCCTGGGCACGTTCCCGCTCCAGCTGCATCTTCTCCTCCTCGAGCTCGCGCAGCTTGTGCGCCAATTTCTCGCCCAAGTCACTGTGTTCGTTAGGGAATTTTCTCGATTACTCGACTTAACGGCCTCGCCCACCCCACCGGTGTGTCTACGTGTACAGAGCGTTTTATAGCGTTCAAGAGGAAGGAACGACGCGATGATAGCGATAGCGACAGTCAAGCGGCAGGAAAGGACCACCAGTTCAAAGGTAAAAGTGTTTTTATTTTATTCATCACCGTTGTTTTTTTCTTTTTTTCTTTTTTTGTACATTGATCCCGAATTACAAATTCATCGTAGTTTTCATTATGTACATATACAAGACACGCTTAGAGATACATATTATGTATATTTGTTCGTCGTAGCGATCATCGAAGACGCCTCTGTTCGTGTGGATCGTTCGAAAGTTTAGGGTACTTCTTCACGAAAGTACTATTTGAAACGTCATTTTTCTTTTTGTTTCGTTTACAAAATATATAAATAGCAGAGAAACGGTAGGGTTGTGTCACACGAAAAATGGCATGTTCGATTCTCCACTGGCATGCTCCCGACAACGAAACGTTACAACCAGAATCTTCGTGCAGATATCTAGCATAGACGTTAAAGGGAACCTCAAGCACGTGTTACTCCAGAGAAACTTGAATAGAAGAAAATGTAAGAATCGTGTGTCTAAGAGCTAGGTGTAAAGCCGAACGTAACTGAGAGAAACGAGAGTGTCACAGTATACCGTAACCCGGAGAAAACACTCGAAGAAAATAGAGACAGAGAGATAGAGATAGAGAAATAATAGTACAATTCGTCTAGAGAGAAGCGACATCGAGCCTAGTCGATGGATCATTTATTTTACTCCTAACCACCAATCGTTCGCCATAGAAATTGCCCTGGAAAATTCCTACCTGTTCAGCTCACGATTGTTCCCGTACCGCCACTGCTCCTCTTTCTCGAGGACCTCGATGATCTCTCTTTCTTTCTTCGTGATCTCGTCTTCCTCCGAAGAAGTCACGCTCGCGCCGAACGGTTCGCTACTTTGCCGACTGTGCTGTGACATGTCAGGGCTGACCGGTTGCTTCGTCCAGTCCTCGGCGTGGCCTAACTCGACCCCGGAATCTCTCTCGTGGCTAGAGTCCTGTTCGTAGTTGCTGTCCGTGTCGTACGAGCGACGATGAAGCTGCTCGATGCGCCTTTCTTCGGCTAGAATCGCCGCCATGTCTGGCGGCTTTGTCAGCGTCAGCTCGCGTTCCAACTCGTCATCGTTTACCTGGAAATTTAGGACCAACGTTTGGAACAGGTGCTAACGGAACGCTGGATGTTTCGTGTAGAACAGCGAAAGATTTTTTCGGGTGAATTTTCAGAACAATTTGTTCTCTTTTAGGGATTAGGTTTGTTGGAAGGTTAGGGGTAGACGTGGCTTGAAAAAATTACGGAATATTTCGACGGAACTTAATAATTCTATATGACAAACTGCGATTTAACGAACCTTGGTGAGGTGAATGTTTACGAAGGTAATTTTTCAAGATTCGAAAAGCAGAATGCGAGACATGTTGCGATCAGCGGACACCGTGCTGAGAAAAAAGGTGTACGATTAAACATCCGCCGAGTGGATGTGATGTATCTCCTCCCGTTGAAAGGTGGATTTTTAAATATAATGGAATTATTGAGAAATAAATCCGTTTATAGTCCTTTTCTATCTTCATTTAGCCGATACGTTTGTCTCCATTGTACGTTTCATCACACGTGCTTCTTCCCAGCGGTTATGAAATAATATTCTACTATGCAGACGTTACGTCATTTTTGCAGTATATTATACCCTCTTCGTTTACGCAATCTCCTTGATATTTCGTTTTTCTCTTCTTTTCCAACCGGTTATTGTCTCGCCTTAGCGGCTTCCTCTAATCTCGTAGAATCGATCTTTCCAGCCAGAAGGTGACATAAAACGTTCTCCGAACAATTTACGAATCGGAAGAACGAAAAATGTGAACGTAAGAATTCGTCGCGGATGAAAGAAGAAACGTTCAATTATCAACAGGATACTTTTTTCTTCGCGAGAAGTTCGCACTTCCGACGAATTTCGCCAGACCGGCGTGCATAATTGCGATTGTGCGTTACGTAAATCAATTCACGTGCTCCAATTAATATCATTAAACGATGTTACGCCGGCGATACGATCTTTCGCAACGTTAAACGCGGGTGCGCCAACGGCCGCGGAACACACCAACTTCCGGAAACAAGTGAAAGCCATCGAGGAAGGTGGAACGCCGTGAGAAGAAACGAAAGTATCAGCGACAAAGTGTCGGCTGGATCGCCGTGGAAAAATTTCGAGCTTCACACGAAAGGTTTTTCGTATTCAACGTTTCAATACTCTATAAAAAGAGAGAGAGAGAGAGAGAGAGAGGCAGGGAAAATGGAAAATAATTGAGGAAGTGGGAACTTCGGCACTGTGGATTCTACGTTGGAACAAGTACATCTTCGCGACGTTTCGAAGATTTAAGGAAGACACCGGTGTATTATTAGAAATACCGCGGGAGAAATAGGAGGCAAGGTTTTGTTAAGAAATTTTCTAGTCACCACGTTTTTTCAGATATATGGTTGAGATTTTCTAATTGGAAAGGGAATTTCCATTTAAAAACTGGCGCTGAATTCCCAAGGAATTGAAAGGGTTAAAATGTAGGATGGCCACACTGGTTATCATCTGCTTGCCGCAGACTAAGTGCATGCTTTTCAAGTTTTTCTCAAGTTCGATCGTCGATTCTACGAATAAGCGCTATGGAAAGTGATTCGAGTAGTGAAATAAGTATTAAAACGGCCGAAGGAAGTAACGAAGAGCAATCTATCAGCAACAGGAAGAAATTAGAGGCGAGTTAGAAGTGAAGATAATTGGGTAAGAAGTACTGCAAGAAGAGCATGAGTCGCAGTTTCTATTTTGTCTAATTAACTGAGTATTATGATATTGTTACGTACATTGGATAAATAAATAAAATGAGTAATTCTTTCGTTCATAAAAATTTAATAAACTGTGATTTCTCGAACATTTACATAATACTTCCTCATATTCATTGACTGGTATTTTTTTCAAGTTTGTTGCACTCACGCCCTTCTTACACCTACCTCTTCGATTTTATGCAACGCATTAGAGACAACGATCGCGTACCCCTTCGATTCCAAGAAAATCAGAGCGTCTCGTGCGTAGTTCCTTCTTTATTCTACGGGTCGAGTTCAGTCTCTTCAGAGGCTCGATCGGGAGATTTTCCTCGTCGCTGATGTCCACTGGAGGCGGTGGTGGTTTCTCCTTTGGAGGTTCCGCGCTTGTCGGTGGTCCGAGAGGAAATGATAGTGCGCTGACGATTTCCTCGTCGCTGGATAAGTTCAGTGGCAAAATCTGTCGGAGAAGAGAATCGAACTAATTAAGAAACAATTTGCTGAAAATTGTTGAAGATGGCAGAAATGATTATAGTAAAAGCAGACTGAAGCTTATATTTGGGAAATCGTTAATAATTTATATTAACATTTATAAGAACTAACCTTCGAGAAAGTATTGTATAATTTAAAAAAGTGAAAACTGAAAACAGCACTTAAAGTGCTGTCTTACAGAGTGTCTTCGAATTAGAGGTGTAACTCAAACAATTTATTTTTCATTTCGAGACACTGTGTAGTACGTCACGAAAAATTTCCACGAAGACATCGAACAGTCGAATCTATTACATTTGAAAACAAATGCAACTCCTAGAACGAATACTTCTTTATCGCGACAACTGGTATTTACGAGCTTAAGATTTCCAGTACCTAGAAAGTGATTCATACCTTCAATGAGAAATTATTTGGAGAAAAGTAACTTTCAACGATCACACGTAAAAACTCTGAAGACTCAAAATTTATCAAGACATTCAAATATTGAATCATGTGCGAAGCGATTCCAAGTGTTTCAGATCTCTCATCCAGAAAAAGCTCCTTAACGCTCGTACTTTTCTCAACTTGATGTGCCAAAAATGATCAATCCTTTTTTTTTTTTCTTTCATTATTTCCCACGCGTATAGAAATAAATTTCCCATTTACTTACAATGCTGTGACAGAATAGAATAGAAACGACAGCGCACTACGAACAGTGGCAAAAGATAATTAAACAGAGCGTCAATGGGTTAATTACACACCAATACCCGTATCTCCACAAAACAATCACTATTTCACCAACAGTTCGACGAAAGAAACAAGAAGAAACTACCACTGGACTGGTACGAAAGCAAAGACCAACATTCTATGGAAATTCCTAACACCATCGATCTCCCGATCCCTGTCAGATCCTCGCATCACCGAAACGAGGGGGTAGAGCGTGTGCATCGTATCCTCTTACCTGTGTCGAGATCGGCGATACAGAACTGAGCAGGCTCATCGTGTCCATCATGGTGATTTCCTGTTTGCCGAGGGTCAAGGTCGTCGGTCTTTGAGGCACAGGGACGTCCACAGGCTGGATGATCTCAGGTGCATCGTGCACGTCGATCGACTCCTTGATCGACTTTCGCGCCGGTGGCTCGTATGCCTCGATCTTCCCGTTCATCGCCGCTTCCTTTTCCTCGTGCTCTTCGTGTTCGACTGGCGCCGCCGCCGCCGCCGCCGCTGCTGCTGCTGCTGCCTCCTCGTCGTCCGCTTTCTCGATAACGATCGGTTCCTGAAGAGACGCGCTCTGCGTTATTGCTTCTGCCGTACGGAACTTGGGCTTGCGGCTAGCACCGCCACGAATTTTGCAACGCCACATTCTATGCAAATCGACACCGGTGTGCTTTGCCCGCGGACCAGGGTTTCTCAAACTTTTGTTTTGCCGCGACCAACACTCGGGACGATTAACTTAAAGCGTGCAATTCCACCGGAGGGGGGGATGATCGCGATTGCGATCTGTTTCGTGATTTAGCAGGTATTTATGATTTAGCATCAAAGTTGTTTAGATTTTTCAGATCGAATTTGCTCAGGTTTTTCGACGCAGTGTGAATTGTGCGATTACGCTGTCCTTAGCTTAACTGTCCTAAGTAACATTTTCATTTTTAACATCCGCGAATAACGAGATTCTTTTTGGAAATTTCAAAACCATCTGTGAAATAGTCAGGCTGTTTCTAGAGCCCTACAAAGCACATAGGACATTCTAATTTTGCACATGTGGAGCTCCAAACGTTCGAAAATATCCTGAAAAATGAAAAATTGGCAGATAGGACATTTTAGCTAAGGAGAACAGTGCGGTTGTTTTTTGTTTTTTTTTTTTAGCAAGCTGTGAACAGTGTGATTCTTTTCGCAAGAAATTTCGAATAACTGCGACTTATCGCGTACAATGGTAATAACGCAATCTGTTATGCAATGGATATGACGATATTAACATTGAATCGTTTTAATTTGTCGGTGTATAACGAACGGCATTGTTTCTCCATTTGTGTCACGGAGATGTCGCGGAAGATAAGTTGTACAATGAAGCTTGAGAAACACTGGATTTCGAGCAACAACTTGAGAGGCAACTGTGGTTTCGGATGGGAGATTATTTTGCATTCTACGGGTCTCCTTCTGCTTCTCTATTGTTTCTTTTTTTATTTTTCGCTGCTTTATTTCGGTAGACATCGATGCACCAACAACGTTCATGCACGACCACGGTCAATTTCTCATTCGGAACTCGTGCAAACGTGAACACACATGGTGAAACGTTTCGTTTTCAAAAATTAATAATTCCAGGAAAAAAAGAAACGACAGACTGTAAATTATATTTATCATATTAATCTAAAACATCCTTAAAATTCATTTTCACGCGAAGACACATCACCGACACTTCTAAAATAATTAACCAATTATCGCGTAAAATTTTTTGCGCGATTTCAAACATTCTCAGTCGAAACATTCCCATGCACCGGCATTAAGAAGCACTTACCCTCCATGCAATTCACTGTTTCGTAAGTTTTCGTGCAAACATGACGTCACGTGCTATTGCCGTCGACTGACGAAGTACGAGCAAATAAAGATAAATCCTTTTGGCAATAATGATAACGTCTATCTAGATCTATCTGGACAAGCAAGGGGAGACACGACTGAACACACGATTCCAACTAACCGTTCTCGATCCATTGCCTAGAGTTGAACGTGAAATATCACTTTCATTCATAGATGTATATCGATCGATAACGAAAACTTTTCTCACATCGAAATTTCACCGTCAAAAGCGATAACACAGGCTAACCAATTCCGTTCGATCTCTCTTCGAAGATACTTCGAAAATAACTAATCCTGTTCTGCAAGGTAAAGAGAGCTTTCTACTTAATTGTTCTCGTAATTTCGTATAATTTTGTCAGAAGCGATCCGGTTTTCAGATGGATATCTGCCGTGAATTTCCTCGCAAGAGCGAGAACTTGAAAGTAAAAAAAAGAAAGTGAACACCGAAGTTTCGAAAGTACACGCGACTACTACTCCACCTGAAATACAGTTCGGAGCAGATTCGTCGAAACGTTCAACCGATCAAATTCACAGCGTACCGAGATTTCTAAAGAAGAATTCACCATAGAAAGTGTGCGTACACTTTCGTCCAAGGATAGGATGTTCAATAAAAGGCAAAATAATGGACGATTTCAGTACGAGATATCGGAATGTATTACTTCATCGTGAGTATATACAGTCTCG